GCCAGCAGGGATATCTGAGACCTTAACATCTGGGCACACATTCACTCTTGAGAAATCCACAGCTGACAATGTATGTCAAAATCTCCTAGCATGCTAAATTCAGTGTCACCATATTGTGCAATCGTCCCTCTGAGCTTCTCTATTTGATGCTTCATTACACAAGAGTCAGTGTGTGTCAAAGGGCCTGGTTAGCCTGGCTTCCTTAGATGATCTGATATTTTACAGACTGTGACCATGACTGTGACTGGACTAGACCTGGCATGTGGAAAAACAATATAATAATATAATAATCTGTAACCTTTTTATGAGATAAACATTAATATAAATTTAATATGCAAACATTAAGCAGCCACGCATCAGCAGGCACAAGGGGGGTGAGGGGTGGCGGCCATGCCTGACCTTTTGCATTATTACTGGGCAAGTCGCATCCAAAAAGTTATCTTTTGGGTCAAAGGTCACTCTGATGACAGTGTGCCAGACTGGGTTGCTCACTCTTCAGTCTCTGCAGGCACACAACTGTCACGTCTGCCTCCTCAGCAAACTATGTTCAGTTCTGTCCTGCGGCTCCGTCCACATGCTTCATGTTTACATGTTAAACCCGGGGGCAGCGGTGGACTGTTGCTGACTTGTTTTAAACAAAAAACAGAGTTTTTAAAATAATCAGGTTTTCGGGTTGTCCCTCCGTCCGTCCCATTCTTGTGAACGTGATATCTCAGTAAAGCCTCAAGGGAATTTCAAAGGTCAAAGTTTAAGGTCACTGTGATCTAGGGGTGGACAGTTACAAGGTACATTTACACTGTACTTAAGTATATTTTTCGAATATTTTTAGAAACGCATGACTTTTACTTCACTACATTTAAAGACAAATATTGTACTTATATATTATATACAGACTTTATATCTTACTTTTAAACAGAGTTTTTAGTCAGTGGAATTAATTGTATTTTATTTTGAAAATGTGACAGACCATACACTGTCATTCATGTTTGAACCTGTCAGTGTCCTAACCATGGCGACGTTAGATAAAGATGAGACAGAAGATTCTTCAGCAGAGACCATGCTCTGATCTGAGGTCTGTGTTTGAAGGTTTAAAGACAGTTTCATTTAGTTTGAAATGTTTGCTGTGTTTACCACGACCACACTTCATCACTGCCTACAAAAAGGAGAAATATTTGATGAGAGGATCTATACTGTGACCACACAAAACACTTTTTAGCCATAACTCAAGACTTCACTCAGCAATTATGACAAGATGGTTCATATTTTATCTGACTCTGGATAAATCTGGATGTAACCTGAAACTAGTCTGAGTGGAGGAGGCAGACAACTGCAAGACGGTGATTCTAGTTTGACCTGTTATTACCTGTGTATCACCTGCTGTAGAGTCGGATCAGTACGTTCTCAGTTTAGAGAAGCTTCTGATACCCAGGTCACAGACATGAAAAACTATGATTATATCTTTTGACCATTGTAGCAGCTGCATGTGGAGACAGAGACATTTTAGTGATGTTTTCTGTCAAAAATAAATCAGAAATGAATTTATAATGAAGAGAAATCCAACATCCCAGTGACCTGCAAACTCTATGTAGAGAGACAGAGCTGCAGCAGCTCAGACGCAGCCGGTGTGAACACAATCCAAAGCAGGTTCTCCTAAGCAGCTCAGCGACAGCAGCCGCCACACACATGCAACGCAGCCAGTGTGTTCCCGGTGTTACTATCACACACACTCTGACACACACAACCACATGATAATATGCCTAATGGACTACAGATGTGTTCTCAGCCCTTGGCTCTCTGAAGAGCATATAGAGCTATATCGAGTAGAGCTGCCAGATAATCACAGAAACACAACAAGAGAAATGATGCAGACACAAGGTGCAGATGAGAACATTATTCACATGTAAAATAAAAACCTTTCTGGTTTCTATGGGAGCCAACAGTCTGTATTACTGTTAGTGTACATCTGGAGATGGAGCGGAGGAAACATCTGCCAGCATGTAGGAACAAACTTAGAGGTTAGAATGAGGTTATGGCACTCAAACAACAGGCAGCAGGGTTCCCTATGAAGTCTTTACATAGCTGCTAGTGTTTTGTGAACTGAATATCACATAATTTTGGGATTGTACAGGACATGGTGTAAAGGGCCCCTTTGAAAAGCAGCTAGAAACAATAGATAGTACAAGTCTTCTCAAAATGTTAATGTTTGATAAGCTGACCATGTGCCTTCTTTCCAACCATGTATTTTAAACACTGACTGTACATAAAGATGGACGTAGCCTCCGTGAGGTCACCCACAGGTTTATGTGGAGCGGGTTTGAAGCTCAGAGTGAGCTGCTCCACCGTCACCATCATGGTGGCAGAAGAGTAACTATGCGTACAGACTGCTAACACTAATATGTCATTAATGAATCAGGGTGCTGACATTTGCAGTCTTGGCATAAAGGAATAGTTCAACATTTTGGACAGTACATCTAGTCCTATTCCTTTCCTGTCTGTAAGTTAGATGAGAAATGGATACCACTCTCATGAAGGTGCATGGAGTATGGAGCAGGAGCCAGAAAGCACTGAGCTACAAAAAGACTGGAAGCAGTGAGACCCAGTGTGAATCTGTCAAAAGTGAAAAAGTACACTTAATAACACTTGTTAACTAATTAACACATTGTACGACATCAGTTTAATCTGCACACATATTTTGGATATTTATTTTTTTGATTGATTGATTGATTGAATAGAACAGTGACCGGAATTTTCAGGTCTCTTCAAAATTCTCTTGGGGAACGGGACCGCAGTAGCTTTTTTTTTTTTTGCTGTATTGTGTATTATAATTTATATATTAGGAACAAGCAGAGGTAAATAAACTTACTCAAAAATGGTGAAGGAGCTGTGGCTCACTCATATTATTGGTGTGAAAGTATTTAGTGAAGACAATGTAGACATGTTTGATTCTTTTCAGTTTTATTTGTAAATGCATCTTGGATAGAACAAAGAAAAATATATATAATATATTCATATGTACTGAAATGTTATGTACACATTTAGATTTAAACTAGAAATTTTCACGACCACTGATTTGTCTTAAGATATGTTATCAGAGGAGTCTTTGTGTCTTTCCTGGATGCAGCGATGTACACGTCTGCATATTTACATACATTCATAGGATGCGATAAAACACCTGTGTTCACACAAGCATGAAAAATTCAAAAATCTTATGTAAGGAATGGTGTACAACGTTGTGTGCCCTAGCTTGTTGTCACTTTACATACATGAATTACACATGTACAGCATCGTCACACCCCTACATATTTACAGGGGCGTGATACCCAGAGAAAACAGTGTTCGAGAGCAATTAGGGCATTAGAAAGTGTGTCATGGCCTCAAAAAAGGATGTTGTGACTACGTTTCCCAGAAACTCATTGTCCTGGTAGTTCAGCACCATGGTGTGTGTCCACTGATGTCATCTCAACATAACATACCTGCCGGCTGAGGTCAGATGCTGTCAGTGTGTCTCCAGTAACAGATGAAGTAGAGCTGAGGCAGCTTTTGTATCAAGTCGTTCAGAAAAATAATAAAATAATTCAAATAATAAGAGCAGATGAGACATTCAGCTCCATGGCTATGCACAGAATGACATTTATGACACCTGTAAATATGGATCACTGAAAGCCTGGGGCCAGTTGCACAAAACACCTTAAATTTTCTACTTAAGTATAACACTTAAGGTTCAATTTTTACGCAGTTACTTACGTAGTTGCACAGAATCTCTTAAAATGTTCTACTGTTTCCATGGAGACCTATGTTTGCTGGCATCAGCTTGTGATACCTGCTATCACTTTTGGGAAGCTGACAACATTAAAGAAGCGCGTAATGTAGAATCAATTCCTCATCATTAAGGGTATCCATTGAGTTCTCCCACTCTTCATTTTCTTGACTTGTCATCATAAACACAGACATGTTGCAGTGAAGACAGAGACAGACTCAGACTTTGAGGAAACGCTTAAATTTAGGTGTTTTGTGCAACTGGCCACTGATTTCCAAAACCATTTGGCTCTGTGGTGCAGTAAGGCCAGAAAAGTGATAAAAATAGAATACCAGCGAGTCGGTACTAATGATTGCTTAATAAAACAACAACAAAGACCACTTAACACTGATCAGAAGGCAGATTTAACCGTCACTGTGCGTTTAACGTTGCAGTTGTGTTTCACTTTTGCATTTCTTGTGTTGCTCTGTCACTCTCCGTCGTGAGTCTCAGCAGGTTAACAAAGCTGCTGTAAAAGAGTGAGAGGAGTAGGGGTGGGCGATAACACATTTCTTTTCAATCCAACACTAGTTATACAGGGCCAGAATCGCCAACTGATATTGATATTGATACTGATACTTTTTATTATCAAAAGTGGCTGTATTTTCATGTAGGGGAGAGCAGTGTCATGATGTATGAGGTGTATTCATCATCAATAGGCTGAATTTTAATACATTTGACTGACCACTAAATGATTTGCCAAGTGTTAACAATCCCTTTAAGGATGGTAGAATTTATACCTGCGACCTGTGAGACCTGGGTTTGTTTCAAGTGACGCAGAACAAAAAGTGGCTTCATTCATTCATGCAGCACTTTGTAAAAAAAAGTGATAAATGGATGACAACAGTCCTCTTCCATTCAGGCTTCACTGCCATCATTTTTCAAAGGTTATATTAAGGATTCAAACCCGGGCCGCTGCAGTAAGGACTGAACTTCAATGTTGTGCGCTCTGGCAGTTGAGCCACAGAGGCGCTCCGCAGACCATATTCACACAGCGGCCATTTTCCTCTGACGTCACGCTGAGGGTGGGAAGCCTCTTTAAGCCACTTTACTGTCTCTGAGTAAATCCTGTGGGAGAATGGCGAAACGGTTGAAGAACGTATTTACCTCACTTTCATTCGACCAAATTGATAAATGGGCAGAAGAATCTGCGAGGATCGAGTTAATGTTATGCATTACACAACATAAATGTCAGAGTTACTAAAGGTGACCAATCAGTTCACTGGCTTGTGCTACTTGTTTCTGATTCTGTTTCACAGTGCGAGGTAATATTCAATGACAGGCGGGTGACATCGCAGACAGTTCAGTTTTGTTGAGGGCAGCAGTATCACCACTATCCATTGTCTTTTCAGCTGCTGATCGATCGGGAAGAGGAGCCATGACAACCATTTGTCAGATTCCCAATGTTTATATGAGTCTCAGCCTGGTGCACAACAGCTGAGCTTCCCACCCTGAGCATGACCTCAGAGGAATATGGCCGCCATGCGACTACGGTCTATTGTTGCGCACAACATGACAACAGCAGTGACAAAGACTGGGATGAACTTATTTGTGTTCACGACAACAGAACAGCGTTTGCTCAGTTCTACTCTGAAATGAGTCCAACATAGACGAGAGAAAGTGAGACTGGTATCGATCCTTTTGATGAATCGATCTTCAAAAACCAGACGTGGTATCGAACGGATCGAAATTTTGGGATTGATCCACCCACCCCCAGAGAGGAGTCCTGGAAGCTTATTGTGAGAGTTCCCTTATTTTCTTATGCAATCAGTAGTTCATGTTTGTGGGGTGCTACAGTTTTCCACCTGTCCATCAACACCAATGACAAATACATTATCAACTTTTTCTGTCAATGAACTGTGGTGCAAGGCAGCAAAAACAAACTAGGACGAAGCTATCAGAGAGCCCTCGCTGGTCTTTGGACCCTAGGAAGAATAATTATTACTGTGATAGTTGCGGATGGGGATCCCAGTGAACTTCCTAAATGTTGCATAAGAGGAATGTGCGAGACATTGGCAGCTTTCAGGAAGATAAAAGGCAGTTGTTGTTATCCAGGTAGAATGGACACAAGGCTATCACCAAATCTATCACGTGATCCACACTGAATGAAAATCAGTTCATCTCATCTTCTGCTGAGGCAGGAGATAAGGACAGAACAAACATAAGTAGTACAACATACCAAAGTGCCAACAGCAACGACAACCTTCATCTGAATACAGGATGGTAACCGTGGTGACTCACTTTTGTACAATAAATTAGAACAATCACAGATTGCTGAAATAAGAAGAAAGGCATTCCTCCGTCACATCACATGTTGATTTTGACTTGATGAGGGCCCAAAGATGTGCACACACATCTGTGCATTCACACTCACACCTCGCTCCTGTGGCTTATGTCTGTACGAGAGTGATCCCAGTGATCCCAGTGATCCCAGCGATCCCAGCGATCCCAGCGATCCCAGCGATGCGAGCAAGGGTGTCAGTTTGTTGAGCGAACTGTCCGGCTGCTTCGGGGAAAACGGTGGACTTTGATGTGTTTAGACAGGTGGTCACTGCGGGCAAACTTCTTCTCACATACAGGACACTGGTAGGGCTTGACCCCCGAGTGGGAGCGCCGGTGTCGAGACAGCTCATCCGACCGTGAAAACCTGGGAGAAAGAAGGAGAGACAAAGAGATGTTTTATATTTGATTCACACAAATTGATCTGATAATCTTAAACTCAACAGTATGTATGCTTTTACATCTATTTCTGATTTGTGTGAAATAAATGAAATTAAATGTAAATCAAACAGAAGGGGGGGGGGGGGGGGGGGTACATTTGCAGTGACCACCAGCACTTCCACCATTTTCATATATTAAAACATTCAACCCACAACAAGAGCCGCAGCTGAAACAGTTGTTCACACAACCTGACCTGATCTCCCTTTAAGTTCATATGGTTAACATGTTGCATTGGAAAGCTCTGAAATCTTTAGATTTATAGTTTCCTATCATATATTCAAATTTGGTTAAGGGCTTGTTTAGGACTTGAATCACAGGATTTAGGACTTGAAATTAACTTAGTTTTTCCCAGCCAAGATTGAGAATGACTTTGTCCCACCTCTGGAGAAAGTGGCTGATGAAAGACTAAACGTCCTAATCAAAGGGCTGTCTCAGGTGTGTGTGTCCCGTCAAAGATCATCCTCTCAACTTGTGTCAAACTGTTGTTCTGTTCATGAGGAAACTATTCATCGCGGCTCCTTTGAACAAACAGCTGACATTTGGTGTGACAACTTATCTTGAAATAAAATCTATGTCTGCACTCAGGATATTTTACAACAATCAACTTGACAATTACCGTGCATTACGGTGCATGATGTAAATCATCCTCACACTTGTTATTTTGTATTCACTTCTGGCAGACTCTCTGTTTCTCCCAACACACACGTCTCACTAACACCATTTAACAGCATAATTATCTGTCGCGATCAAGTTTCACAATCTGATGCTTCAACTATCCTGTAGCTGATTTGGACCAGCACAACACCGCAGCAGGGTCGGCATGCCAGGCAAACACCACTTGGCTGGAGCTCCAGGGATGACAGCTCCAGGGCTTCTTCCCAGCAACCTAGTTCTCTGAAACTGACTCTGCATCCCAGATGTTGCTCTGCTCACCCTGACAAGATGATGAATTGATACAGTTGCACAGTGTCATTAAGCAACAACATTTAAGGAGCTGCAGTAAAAAAAACTGGCTTTCATGTGTAGATACTGTACACCAAGCTCACTGCTTAGGGCGAGAGTAAAGCTGCTGTAGTCACGGACATGATTAAGATATATGGAGACACTGCCAGTAACACTTTCCCCATGCTTACTATGAAACAAGTAACTAACCGGAGCTAGGGTTGCCACCCGTCCCAGCTTTACCGGGATTGTTCTCTTTTTTGAGCGACTGTCCCGGAAAATTCATATTCTTTCCCGGGACAATTTGTATTTTTGTGAAGATGCACTTCTAATGTAGAATTTCATAGTTTCAGATAAAACCTCATTTGTTTCCTTCTACTGCTTTTCTGTTTTCTTCCTGGTTATGTCCAATATGTGTGTCTGTAAACATATGAAAACGGGTACAACAGTCCCCAATATGCAGCAACTACAGCCCATCCACATCCATCAACCCATGAATTGGGTGACCTGCTGAGTAGGCTGGATTCGTTTTGCTGCATGTCATTCCCCTGATCTCTGTCCCTGCATTTTCTGTCAATCTCTACTATCCTCTCAAAAAAAGTCCAAAAGAATGCCCAAAGAAATCACTTAAAGCGAGAATCACCTCCTGGTGGTTGTCTGCCTCCTCCACTCAGACTAGTTTCAGGTTACATCCCTGTTTATCCAGAGTCAGAGAAAATATGAAACATTTGTGAGAAATTTTGTCATAAAAAAAAATAAGTTTTTTTAGGTCACACTGACCTTGACCTTTGACTTTTGCAAAATCGAATCAGTTCATCCTTGAGTCCAAGTGAACGCTTGTGCCAAATTTGAAGAAATTCCTTCAATGCATTAAGGAGATATCGCGTTCACAAGGCCAAAACCATGTTTTGTGAGGTTAATGTTACCTTGACCTTTGACCTTTGACCACCACAATCTAATTTTAATCCTCAAGTCCTAATGAATGTTTGTGCAAAATTTGAAGAAGTTCCATTGAGGTGTTACTGAGACATATCGATTCTAGCCACAGCTGTTTAAAGTTAACAATAAGTCATTTTCCTTCCATGTTACAAAAACACCAAAGTTACCAACTGTTCGGGTCCTGAATCTTGACAGCATTCAGACAAGTACTTAGATGACTGGAGCCACTGACCTCCTGGGGATATGAGGATGATTCTGATGTCTGTGTTCTCACAATATTCTGAGATAAGCTAACCAGCAAAACGATCTACTAAACTTGAGATGAAACATTTGTGGGAGTAACTCTTCCTGGAGGAGACTCTTTGCACTGTAGATGTAGTTAATGTTACACATTTGAATAAAGAGAACCACAGTCACTTCATCTTTTCACCCAGTCATTCCCTCCCTGTTCCTCCCAGTCTATGTGAGGAACCTTGACCGATCCCTCTCTTCCCTTTCACGCTGTATGGCAGCCTGGACGTTCCTAGCCCACAGTCATGGTTACTATTCAACACTTGGTGTTTGTTCACTCCACTTCCCCACTGCTGTTCCCTTCAAGTGACTGTGTGCAAAACTGAAAATCTCAGTTACTCTCTGCTGCTCACTCCATTCGCATGCTCCCAGACTTTTCCTGAACTTTTCTTTCTTTTGGTCGGCCCCCCCATTTACCCCATCACATACAGTGGGTTACACACACACTGATTCTCACACACACACACACACACACACACACACACACACTTCCATCCAAACTAGATCCTGCCTTTTGTGCACAGACAAGAGCCCTTTGTTGGTCAGAACACACAGCCTGGATTACTACTGCACAAATTTCTGCAGCTCCCTCCGTGTATTAGGACACACTTGTGCAGCATTACAAGGACAGGTGGCAGGCTGCCAGGTTGCTTCTATAGTCAAATGGACCAACACAAAGCTTTTATGGGATATTAATGATCGCTCACTAGCTGCATGCAAGAAGAGGGTTTATAAATGATGGAATGATTAAAAGAGCAGGCTTCTCCAAGACTGATCTCTGCAAGCTGTAACACACGGAAGCCAAAATACATCACGGCTGACTGGAGAGGATACTCTTATATAAAATTATATATACTCTTACTAATGTGTTAATGCACAAGTAAATATAAGCATAGGAAGGGAAACAATCAGCTCAACTCTGGCAACTTAAGACACTTAATGAGCAAAGAAATGATGAAGACATCCAAGTTCTCTCTCTGCCTTTCTCCATTACACACAGCAGCGCCCAAATTAGACCTCGCTGCTTTATACTTAGCGTATACAAATACATAAACACACACACACATACTGCCCCAGCAACTGCACAGCTGTCGGGTCTCAACAGGAGGTGCCCATGTTGTGCCCATGTGACTCCAGCCCACATGCTCTGTCCCAGATTTAGTTTACATCCATAAAAAAAGACACACCTGCTATTCTTGCACATCCCAGATATTTCACTGTGCCTGTGTGTGACTGTGCAAGCAAACCCTCCACCTCACATCACTGCAATTAACACTGGGGGCGGCCGCACGCTCCAGGGCTGAGGATGAGAGTTTGTGTCTGACTTTTCCATCACACATCCTTGACTGACTTTCTGCTTCCACAAACACAAACACAGTGCTGAGGTTTATTGGAGCGAAGCCTGTTACCGATAATGGCGTTTACGTTGACAAGCTGCTTCTCCCGTTTTTCGGTATGATGGCGCTTTGGGAGGGTGATGAGCTGATGACCCTCTGAGCCTCCTGCACCAGAGCTAACAGATGAACCTAAAGCAACAGCTCAGTTCAAGTGTCAGTGAAAATCTGCGCCACACTGGGTTCCACTGGGCAACATGACACTGCACAGCACATAGACATGGCCCACTGACATATAATTACTGCTGCTTCCAGAGAGGACACACTAACAAATGTGTGTCTTTTATATAACCTCTCATAAATATAAGTCATCCAGTGTTTCCCACAGAATTCTATTTGTGGTGGTAGCTGATGGGGGTGGGAGCTGTTTGCATTTCTAAATAATACTATATAATAGGGATGTCCCGATCTGAGTCATTTAATATTGAGTCCTGACCCCATACTTTGCACAGTGCACACTTCAAATACATTAACGTTATTAAAATCAACCCAGTGCATATGCTTGACAACTGAAAAGCTCTGCAGTGCATTAAGAAAAAAAAACTGAATCTAAGTTGTTCCCTAATGTTTTTTTGATTATCATTTTTAAATCCAAAGTGGAGTCGATCCAGTGCAGTGAGGCTAAGCAATGACATTGAGTAAATGTCTGTGGTAAAGCCAAAAGCAGTCACATCTGATAAAAGACCTCGTAGGTGAGGCAGTGTCTGAAATGTAGTGCCTAGAGGGGAGGGCGCACCGCGGCTCCAAAAAGACAGTGAGAACCAGTATTTTCTACCACAGCGATGGGCTGGTCATCCATTCAACGACCCGCTCTGTAACCTTTTAGTCGTTGTTGCTATCTCTTTAAAAGTGTCCTCCAGTGTGTGTTGCTTCAGTGCAGCCTTTGCCTTAATTACCTCAGTGAACTCACTGTATTATACTACTATAATTTCAGTATTGTAATACTGAAAGGGAGGGAGGGAGGGAGACGGAGAGAGAGATGGAGACGGAGACGGAGACGGAGAGGGAGAGGGAGAGGGAGAGGGAGAGGGAGACAGGGAGGGATATGGAGAGAGAGAGAGAGGAGAGAGTGTATATTGTATTTTATTGTACAATATTAAAATCTAAATCTGTATCAGTATGTGACACATATTTTATAATTACTGTATGTATGTATTTCAATCATCTGTAAACTGCTTTGGAAAGAACATGTTTTTGTTCATGCATGTAAAGTTATTTGAATTTGAATGGGTGGGGGGGGTGACAGCAGTACAATGAAATAAAATTTTACTGATTTGAAATAATAAGAAAAAAAAATGTCTATAAAAAAATCACTATATGGCGATCAATGTTGATATTGGGGCAGGCCGCCACAAATAAATCAGTGTTTGGGAAAAGCTGGAAGGTCTTAGACTCATCCTCTAAGATAACGTCAAAGGCTGCAGTGAATAGTAACTTTGCATGGGCAGAGATCTTTCTGTGTCTGATGTGGTCAGCCAGTAGCCTGCATGTTGACATGTATGTAGAAACACATTAATTCACACTTCCCTCCCCAGTACCCACCTCCATCCACAGTCCTGCCAGTTACAGGCGAAAGGCTTCTCCCCCGTGTGCCTCCTCAGGTGGGCCTTCAGGTGGCTGCTCTTGGTGTACATCTTGCTGCAGCCAGGAAAAGTGCATTTGTGCATTTTGATAAGATCCGACACAGGATTCTTCTGGAACTTTTGACCTCCGGCAAAAATCCCTGATCCCTGGCTGTCTGAGCCATCCCCAAGCCCCAGAGGTTTGGCTGCAATCGGGACGGGAGCAATGCGCACAAACTTGGAGGAGACATTGAGGTTAGGGGAGGGCAGGATGTGAGGAACCAGCGCAAAGGTCTGACCTTGGATGTTGACCAGTAGCTGCGCAATTTTGATGTCTGAGGCTCGGGGAGACGGTGGGGGCTGGGCTACTGGGGTAACAGGAGCTACTGGGGTCTCCTGCTTGATCTGAAGGGGCTGAATCTGTAGGATGACGGGCATCCCACTACTGCTGCTGCCACTGTCTGCTGTTGAAGGTTTGTTGGCTTCTGTGCTGGAGTGGTGTGTGGGGTTAACTGATGTAGCTTTGGTCTCACTGGAGGCAGCAGTGCTGGCGGTGGGGACAGTTTGGTCTGAGTACTTGGCTTCTGATTCTAGCTTACGCTCAGAGGACGCCTCCATGCACCACTTCAGGCCGACTTCTAGACCAAGCCCTTCCTCCACTCCCACCTCCAACTCTGGGCAGCCCTCTTGGATCTCCTGCTTCATTGTCACCACCTCCATATTCTCCTCTAGGAATTCTTCAATCTCCTCCAGAGTGGGCTGAAACCCCCCAAGTGGTTCCTCTGTCTCCACATTGGACCAGTTGAGGTAATCAATATGTTCCTCCTTTACAGGCCCACGTTTGGCAGGCTCATCTCTCCATGAGTCGCAGAGGAAAGTCGATAATGGTGAGGGTGCCACAGACCCTGCCGGGACACTGTTGGCACCTCCTAGAGAGGCCTGGGACAGCAGGTGGTCCAGGATGCTGTCCTGGCTCTCAGCACTGGAGTTGCTGCCATAGCTGGAGCTGAGCACCTGGGAGTCCGGGCTGGAGCAGGAACGAGGGCTGGACAGTTCACTCAGGTCGTCCTCTGAAAGTGGTGATGGCATCACCTGGTAGGAGCCCAGATCTGTCACCATGTCAGACAGCCGGTGTGCCGGTGGAGAGCCACTGTACGGAAGACAAGTCTCCTCGCTCACTGGGAAGTTATCTACCATCCCTGGCTGGTGCCAAACCTCTGTCTCTTGTTGGACTTAGAGTTTGTGTTTCGGATGATTTGTAAGAGATAAATTCCTTGTGTGGCTGGAAAAGTCAGGTCAAACAAACTCAGGTCACCAAGGTCACACTTCCCATTCGGGTGAGAACTGAATCACCTGGTGTTCACTCTCAGATTGGAAAAAGTAAACGTTGGGGAAACACTCTTGCAATCCAAGGTCTTCAGCCAGGGCACAGAATGTCTACATAAAAAAACATAACAGACAGAGAGAGGTCTGTTAATCTTCACCCCACATGTGCCGACTGCTCAAATTCAAAACAATATGGTCTGACTTTAACAGAGAGGGCTTTAGGTGATTCTATATCTCTTGGAAAATGCATGATAAGTTTGCCTGTATGTATGAGATGCTAGTCACAGTCTGTCAAAGACAAATCTAAAGTGCTGCAGCAGCATTTTAGATTTTCTAATTGATATTTTACTGTAGCTGTCATTTAAGAGATGACAAAATACCCAAAGGAGTCACGGTGGTTCAGTAAGTTCACCCGGCTGTCCCTACCCTTGGACACGACCCATAGGAGCGTACCAGCAGCAGGCATACCAGACCTTTGTCGTCATAGTAACAATAATATGACCTGTGGAAGTGTACTAGCGGCAGGCATACCAGACTTTCGTCAACATGGTAACAATAATAAAGACATGGGTAAGGTTGTGGAAAGGTCACAATTTGGTTAGGTTTAGGGAAATATCATGGTTTGGTTTAAAATAAATACTTGGTCGCCATGGTTACAATAAATCACATGCAATTCAGGTTGTGGAACAGTCATGGATAAGACACGCTGACTAGGGGTGCTGCGATCATGTTTTTTTAGCACCAATACCAATACCAATCATCTATGAGTGAGAACAGCTGATTCCCATTATTTTTTGCCTTTGTTATATCAGTCTCACACACTTTGTAAAAGTTCCACACAGCCGACATGTTTTGTTTTAGTGGCCTGTCGCGTACCGGCACACTGAATAATGTGGGAGGTGGGACTACACTACACAGCACACAGTGCTTCTCTCAGCCGCAGACACCAGAGTATTAACCACAGCTGATCGGTTTGATGTCACTCACAGGTTTCTGAAGAGTCTTTTGAAGCTCAGAGTGAGCTGCTCCACCATCACCATATGGCCAGTACCTGACTCCGCCCCTAACTCTGGGCTAATCCAGCTAGCCAAGGATTTGATGCATATCGGCTTGTGGCAGGCATACATCATCTGTCACTCAATTATTCAGAACTTTAAGTCTTAATAAAATGTAAACAGGTGAGTTATATAAACAGGTGTCATGAAGGAGGAAATTAGCTCTAGAGACCAAAACTGTTTTTTGTACCAGGCGGTAAACATGTTTATTTCTGCTGTAAAGTTCAGTCAGACTTTCTTGGGCATTTTTATGGTATAAATTCTTTTGTCCTGTAATATTGTATTATTATGTTCATTATCATGTATATTTTGTACTGACTTTTCACATAATGTGGTGGCTTTACTTTCTTATATGTTCATGTATTAGTCTACAGTTTTCACATATTGACTCCATGGTCATCTTCTATGGTAACAGCAGTGATTTTATCATCATCATATCTTTATGGTTATTTCTTATATTGTTTAACTTCATGCTTCTTTACCTCCTTATTGTGATTGTTTCTCAACAACCTTATCTCTTATTATGGTGGCCAGGTTAAACACACAGTCTGTAACTTCGGCCTCTAGGTGTCTCTCAATCTAAACAATAATAAAAGACAGCGTTGGGCTACATCATGAAATAGCGTGGGATCATGGGAGTTGTTGTCTTCACCACCATTACCATAAGCTCCTCCCGGTTTGGATTCCTTCAGTGTCAGTGGTTCAGGAAATCAAACAGACCCGGTGATTCTAACCATTAAAAACACTGAATAAAGCAGTTTGACATTTAAAGTCAGAGTTTGAGCGACGCTGTACGGAGGACAGAGACTCAGGGAAGAGCTGGAGCTGAGATTGATGCTAACCTTTGTTCTGATTGTTTCTCTGATAACTTATGAAGCAGACGTTCAGCAGGTTTTTACCAGCAGCTGGATTATCCACAGAGGTGTCCTCCTCTCCATAACAAACACACCAGGGGATTAAAACCAGTAGAAACACTCAGAAAAGTCAGATATTCCATCTCCAGCAGCTGGGAGCTGAGCTGTCTAACATTTCCTCAGCTTGTTTCTCTGATAACTTCAGATCCAGACATCCGACGACTAAAATCCTTCATCTGCTTCAAATATAGAGCTGAAAACCACCAAGGTGTAAAAAGTGTATGTGACTTAAAACTAGATAAAAGTCAATGTTGAGCTTCTGTCAGACAAACACACTGACACATGATCATAGAGGATATGATGTCACTGACAGGAGACCAATGACACAGAGTGTTACCATGACTAAAATCACAGATTTCTCTGGTTTGAGAATTGATGGAAACATTTGGGAAAATGTAAGAACACAACTCAACAACATGTAGAACATAGGTCTAGTCGTGGATGTGTAAAAGTTACAGATTATAATTTTATGTACATATATATGTAAAAGGTCACATTTATATATGTATATACATTTGATATAAAATGTAAATATATAATTGATATTATAACTATCAGGCTATACGTTTGGATTTATAGATCAGTGGGCTATATCTGTTTCATGTATCAAAATGAGAGTATACAGTTCAACTTTATCATGTTTTTTATAATGTCCACCATAGACTTTATAAATAGGTTATTTTCCTTGAACAGGGAGCGCCGGTCACACTCACTTCCCCCCTCTTCTACCCGCCCACCTCTATCGCCTCCTCCCTTTCCAGGGGCCCCTGTATGGTCTCAGTGACCGAGAGTAAACCCAGCCAGAGGAAGAAAAAAAAAAAGTTAACATTATTATCAGAAAACACGGCAGGGGGCAGTCGGCAGCGGCGTGGCTCCTCTGCTGCATGCATAAATCACCTGGCGGCTTGTTTACGGGACAATTAAAGTGACTCAATCGGTCACATCGCTGCCACAAGAAGCCGGGAAGACGAATGTTTTACACACCAGTCACTGGATGCAGAGTTATTACCGCATTACTAAGAGCAGGCACATTTCTATGCATTGCACATATGTTCACGGAGAGGTGAGCTTGGATGAGTGCATTCTTATAGGCTTAGGAACTAAGATGTGTAGTTATAAATGAATAAAACTCATTTAAATGATAACTCTTTTCATTTGCATAATGATCTGCTCCACACCATCCGGTCTTGCAGAACTTTCAATTCCCCTCACATGCTGCAAACAGGAGAGCAAAACTCAAAATTCATTCATTTGCACCGTGTTGTTAAACTGCCGCAGAGATACCGAGTGATCCACCACATGCTATAGGACCGTGTGCTGTGTTTTCCTGCCAGTCGCCTGCGCACTTTTTCACGCATGAGTTGGCGCGCGTCTCCGCTCTCAACGTAAACATGTTTTCGTCCAGCGCCGCTGCAGCATATGGCAGCGAGCAGAGACGCGCGCCCTGCAGCCCTGAAGCCACGAATAGAGAAAATAAACCTCCAGACTCACCGTGTTCCCTCAGAGTAAAGACATGTCCAGGGCAAACGGCGCGGGGAGGATGGCTTTTATCCGCAGTCTATTCCCACAGCAGGATTTGTCCTTGAGACACGCCATTCAGCAGCAGCAGAGATCGACTGGACTGTGTGCGCTCACTGAGTTGTATTATATGACTGTCACATGACTGCCAGTGTGTTATAGGGTTACTGTAGTAAGAAATAAGAGGCTGCTGCTGAAGGCTCGTCCCCGCTCTGCAGCCTCATTGGACGGGTGCGGTGGGACGGAGGCGGGTCGCTCGGTCTGTCAGTCAGAGGTTCTGCTGCGTGCAACAACATGTGGGAAGCAGAGTTGTAAACGGTTATCCCGATAAACAACAACCACAGAGGAAGTGATAGTAGTGGGTCAGTGGAGGACGAATCACCTGTAATGTTTTCATGAGGCTCATAACATATCATTCATGATTTTGTGATTAATCTGACACGTGTGAGATTGAGGTGGAGTTTTATTTATTTTTTGTTTGTTTTAGTAAAAGCACACAACATGAGAATCAACATCAGGAAATACAACAGCACATAAAAATCATAATTTAAATGATATAGGTGAAATGGATGAAAATGTAAAAGGATCGATTGTTTAAAGAAAAATAAATAAAAAATAAACAACACAACCAATTAACTGCGCTAACCGTTCTCTGCTCTTTCACCTGTCCACCTGGAGCAAGCAGGTGGTGGGCGGGGCATAAGACCTGATCCACGTTTTCAATCAGGAAGTGTGTGTGTGTGTGGTGTTTTGGTGTTAAACATGCTATCCATGCTAATACATATACAACTTAATTGCCATACATATTTCAGGTCTTGTTGAGTCTAACCACCATGTGGTTCAGAGCCTTCAGCCGTGTTGCCCCTCGACTCTGGAACTCTCTTCACAAGACATCTGAAATATTGACTCGCTTCCTATTTTCAAATTCCCACTTAAAAACACACCTCTTCCTGAACATTTAATCATATTTATTTTTATGCCATTATATTAATTTTGTATTTTATGCCTTGTATTTGCTTTATTATTTTTCACTGTGTGTTGTAAGGTGTCTTTCAGTGCCTTGAAAGGCACCTATAAATAAAATTACTATCATTTATTATTACTAAAAGTTACATACTATACATTTAAGTCCAAAATTTTTTTTTTTCATAACCTAAAAATCAAAGTTCCACTCACTCACTTTTTCCACGTGGAAAGAAACAGCAATGACTGCATGACTCTCAGCCTTGCACAGTATATTAAAGAAGTGTCTCACCTTGTCAAATGTAGAGCGTCCCTGAATAAAAACCCCTTCGATCCATATTCATTTTTTTTTATTTGATAGCACCTTTTCTGAATGTAATGCTAACAATTACAGAGGATCTTGTAATCTGAGGTTAGTGGAGTTATAGGTCGGTAAGACTGTGGCTGTAATCCTGTACACACTGTGCGTATATTTTTAAAAATTATTTAGTTTGTTTTCTTAACATCCTGTCTCGAAAATAAAATTGTGACAACGGGAGATCCTGTCTTATTTTTTGGCTTCTAGATTCAAGAGGAGAGCAGGAGATAAAGGAGGAGGATGTTGTGATACTGCAGATGTGGAGCACTAATGAACATCCATCATGACCAGACACAGAATGAACTTCATATAGATCAGAACACTATTTCATCTTATTGTCTCATGTGGTTTTTTGGTTGTTTATTGTAGCAGCTTGGTTTGGTCTTGATGTTGCATGTTGTTATTATTATCTTTAGTAGTTAGTTAGGCAACTGTTCTTATGATGATGATGATGCTGAATGAGGGAATCTGTTGCTTCATGTCGACTCTTATTGCACGTTTCTCAGGGATATTCAATATAGTGCATAATAGTTTATTGTAGCCTGTTATTTAGCTGCTGCTGTTGTTTTTCAGGCCTGTTGGTCTTTGAAGTGAATGTATTAGGCTGATCAGAGTTTTATTGTGGTGTTGTGTCATAACTTTAGCACTAGAATACCAAATCAGTCTCTCTCTCTCTCTCTCTCTCTTATTCACTCACTTGTTCGATGAGTAGACATATATGTTTGTGTGTGTGTGTGTGGTCTACAAGCGCACAGGCAGTTCCGTGCGTACTATGAAGTATAGTCCTACCGGCGCTACTGAGTAAGATCCACATAATTGTGGATCCTCAGCAGCTTTCAGCAGGATAGTGAGTGGTAAGTGTTTGCTCTGAGTGCATGGCAAGCGAGTCATTGCTTCCTGGTAGACAAGCAGAGTACAGAATATGTTACAGTAACTGGATGTTATTAGGCCTACCATGTTGTGCAGCGGGCAGGGCAGCATGTCTGGCTGATCCCACTTGACCTCTTAATCCAGCCATCAAACAGCTGGAGCCAAAATCCATGAGACTGTGCCTGCAGGGGGGGGGGGGGGGGGTCATGGCCTAGTCACAGATTATAGGCTTGGTCCGGAGGAATGGAAATTCTGCTGATTCGAGGATTAGTCACTTTGCCCTACTTCTTCCTCTCTGTCTCTGTCTCCCAAGGGTCGTGTACAAGCTCCTGATTTCAGATTGTAGATGTTGAAAGCGGGTTCCAGTTTCCCTCCAGAGATGCTACAAGCCTGATGAGCCTGATGAACTTTTTACTTAATACCATTCCATGTGGCTCAAATTAGCCACACTTAGTGCTAATAGAGAAACTTGACCTTTTTGATCCTTTAAAACCATGAATTACACATTTTATTGCTATTTCTATTTACGTCCCTTCTCTGGATACTCACTCCTCATTGGTCATCAGGCCTTGCTCTATGCAGCTCTCTAGAGGTATTGCCTCTGGTACAACTCTACCCTGTTGGCCACACACCTTGTTAACTCTCCACTTTCCATACCTGTTCCTCATGGTGTAAACGTCCAGCGCCCCTCTCAGACCTGTATGACTTAATTGTATCAATAGTAATAATAATACTTACTTACAATACTTTCTGTCTTGTGGTTGCTAAGAGTTGGGCAGTTTGTGTAATTAGCATAATTAGGTAATTATTAGAAGGTTGGAAAGAGGCAATACACAAGAACGACACTTGGGACAGATTATAGATTATATACTGGTTATATACTCTTATATACTCAAGATTATGTGTGTGTATATATATATATATATATATATATATATATATATATTTTTTTTTTTTTTTTTTTTTTTTTGTATATATATATATGTGTGTGTGTGTGTGTGTGTTACAAGAAAAGTGAACCACCCGGCAAGTCTGTGCAACAAGTGGAGGTGAAGGACACTGGAGCATGAAAGAACCTAAACGACTCTTGAGAGAGAGAGAGAGAGAGAGAGAGAGAGAGAGAGAGAGAGAGAGAGAGAGAGAGAGAGAGAGAGAGAGAGAGAGAGAGAGAGAGAGAGAGAAAAAGAGAAAGACAGAGAGAGAGAGAGAGAGAGAGAACAGAAATAACATGTAATTGACATTTGACTTTTCCTGACTCTTCACTACTCAAACCCCAGATTGTAAAGTAGCTAGGTGAGATAAAGTAGGTGAGATTGATCTGTATCCATGAAATCCCTGTTTTTTGAGTATGTTTGTGTTTTGTCTATTTGCATGTTGCAGTGTGTTGAGCTCTCAGGGCCACCGTAGTATGGCCATAGAGCTAGACAGTTGTTTTACAGATGGATGACAATAGATTTGAATAGGTGACAGTGTTGTTCAATGACTCCTTGACATCTTGGGTATATGCTGTGCATAAAATATATTGCATGAAAATAATGTTGTGTGTTGATGACAGTTAACATGCAACCTCATCAATGGTTGTTGTGACCAAGCTCTCTCACCCAAGTGCATGTAGTGGGGTCAAGAGGTTACACAGGTAGGTGGCAGGTTGAGACTCAACGGGCAACAAGGAAACAAATTATTACAATAACTCTGTAATATCCCTAATACTAATTTATGAAATATTATTATTATTCATACTGTCACTATATTATTCCTAAAATATCCTTATGAGGGTTTATATGCCAATAATGCATATTAAAGCTTGCATCATAGCTAGGTGGTGCCCTGTATGTAGAAGCCATGTGGACTTGGACGCCATCTTGTGGTTCATAGTACTGTTTTTTGTTTGTTTGGTGTTTTTTGGATTTGGGTGAACTGACTCTTTACACAGGGAGGGGGCACTCTTTATCCCACCACAGTCTGAGAGGCCTTCAGTGTCAATGGAAGGAAAATCAGACCGAAAATACCTTGCAACACATTTGTCCCCTAAAGGAATGTGGATAAAGGACCGTATGAACAAGGATTTATGGGAAATGTGGTCTAAATTCTGAGATTTACAAGCACTGATAATAACGCTCATGTAAGATAACAGTGTTCACATTTCTGTAAACTAGTCTAACAATATAAAAGTGTCACAATTATGATCACCTCTCAACAGATTAAAATAGCCTTCTTAGCTAACTCTGGTTTATTTACAGTTCTTTCTATGCTGTTGAGCAATTATTGTAATAAAAACAAATACAATAATAAACAGCGGAAACTGCTTATAGTGATCACATACACATGTATATGTAACAATCAGACACAACATTAACACTAATTATCAGTTTTAATGTTGTGGCTCATCAGTGTAAATCAGGACAAAAGCTTTGTGTGCGACTGTCTCAGCAGTGCTCCGTCAATCACACCTTTATGGAAAAATGTTTCGACGGGAGCCACTTTGAGTAACAGCCCACTCTGAGTTTGCCAAATGGTTTTTAAAGGACTCTGAGTCCTGAGCACGTGGGAAAAGATTCTCTGGTCAAACACTATGTCCAGTGAACATCAGGCACAGCTCATCACCTGGCTAATACCATCCCTACGGCGAAGTGTGGTGGTGGCAGCTCATGCTATGGCAGTGCTTCCCAGCGATAGGGGAAGGAGACTGGTCAGAATTGAGGGAAGGATGAATGCAGCCAAACCCGAGTTCCTTGAAGAAAACCTGCTCCAGAGCGCAAACAACCTGAGACTGGGACAGAGGTTCACCATTCAGCACGACAATGACCCAAAGCATACACCCAAAAAATGTTGGAATGGCTTTCTCTGACTGCCCTTGAGTGGGCCAGCCAAAGTGCAGACTTAAATATCATAAAACTGTGGAGAGAGCTGAAGATGGAAGTTCACAAACTCTTCACGTCCAATCTAATGAAGCACGGGAGGACGTGCTGGGAAGAATGTGTGAGTGCGCAGCTTGTAGAGACTTACCCAGAAGACTCGAAACTGTAATTGCTGTCAAAGGGGTTCTACACAGTACTGAAGGAAGGAGAGACTTCAGTACTAGTACAAGTAGTTCATACTTAAAAATTTGCAACCATTTCTAAAAACATGTTTTTATTTTGTTATCCTGGATTATTGAATGGAGACTGATGAGCAAAAACGGCGATTGTACTCATTTATAATTAAATCTACAACACAAGGAGCAAAAAGTGACGGGATGTGAATATTTTCTGACTGTATCTGCTCAAGATGGGAACACTATATATTGACTACATACATATTTACATGTATTTACTACATATATCTTTTCATTATTGCATATCATGTTGGTCACAGGTAAACAAGACTGTCTTAAAAACTGTTAGGACACCTCACAAACTTAACGTCCTGGAGAGGAAATCACTGCAATACCACCATTGTTATTTACTTGTTAAATATAAAAATGTTAAGCTTTGACAACTTCATTCTGTATTCAGATGTGTGTTTAGGGTGTTTGATAATGATGCTCCTCCAACGTCAATCACCTTTGTTCAACTCTGCTCTGAGCAACTGAGCAGAGCTTCAATGGCAGATTGTAGCATGTCTAAACGAGGCTTCACCTTTGCACAATCCACCTTTTCCATCCATTTTCTTCTGCTTATCGAGGGTCGGGTCGTGGTAGCAGCAGGCTAAGTGGGGCATTCCAGCCGTCCCTCTCTCCAGCAACGCTTTCCAGCTCCTCCTGGGGTAACCCGAGGCGCTCCCAGGTCAGATGGGATATGTAATCCAGCGAGTTCTGGGTCTACCCCGGGACTCCTCCCAGTTGGATGTGCATGGAAACCCTCCAAAGGAAGGCGCCCAGGGGGCATCCTGATCAGATGCCTGAACCACCACAGCTGGTTCTTTTCGACGCGAAGGAGCAGCGACTCTACTCCGAGCTCCCTCCAGATGTCGGAGCTCCTCACTCAGTCTCTAAGACTGAGCCCAGACACCCTGAGGAGGAAACCCATTTCAGCCGCTTGTGCCTGCGATCTTATTCTTTCAGTCACTACTCAGCTCATGACCACAGGTGAGGGTTGGAACAAAGATCGACTGGTAAATTGAGAGCTTTGCCTTCCGGCTCAGTTCCCTCTTCACCACAACGGTCTGGTACAACGGCTGCATTACTGCTGGCAAAATGGTTTTTAAGTAACCATCTTCTCAGCATTAACTTGACATTCTGGTGACCTTTTTTTTTTATAATGGGGGATACATGTATGTACTATTAATATCTATATAATGTTCGAGTTCGTTCAAATGAAGTGTGTTATTGTGTGTTTGTGTGTGTGCTTATGAATAGGATGTTGGCCTATTTGTAGTGGGGATCTTTTACTGTACTGCAGATGGAAATCAGCTGGTGGCTAAATCTGGTACAAGCAATTTTCCTTTTTTTTTCTGCAAAGTCAAATGAAGGCTTCTCCAAAAACTGTTCAGATTGTGCTTTAATTCTTTAATTCATCTGTGTTTGGCTCTGCCATTCTGTAAACCCACAACTAAATAATAAATAACAAACATTAAATTATCACAAGAAGGTAGTAACTCATTACATACGTATATAAACACATGAATAGCCATGTTTTCAACATGAACTTGGTACTGCCATAGAAAAATAAAGCTAACAAAACTTAAGAAATCAAAATAGCAACAAATAAAGAAGATAACCTGCCAGTGGAGGTGTGCACAGTGTGAGGTGTCTGTAAGGCAACTGGAGCATAGATAGCACACAGAATGTGCATGAGTGGCAATGTGGCACCATGGAATAGACACCGTTACTGTTAACACCCACAGGACAGCCTCTGAGTGCTGTCAGGTTTGATTTTGGTACAAACTGGACTGAAGAAATCAACACAATAATCTTCTGAAGAAACTATCCTCATATCCTCTTCTCAAGGTGCATTATCTGTGAAACCATGTCCACCCCTCCCTAAATCATATTGACCACATGTCCACAAAGGCTTTCAAAGTCCTGGGAAAAAACAGGTCAACAGTTTGATGGAGCATAATATCTCACGGTGTGTTTGTTGATGTAAACTGTGGACAGTGACGAGGTGCCAGAGAAATCGATCATTGCAGCAGACCTGCGACCTCCAGCTCTGCGGTGGTCACTCCAAGTCCTGGAGGTTGATTGTGCTTCCTGTGAACTGGGAGTTGTCAGATGTGTTGTCGTCTTCGGCCATCACTGAAGGTTCCTGTGAACATAGTCACAGAGCTCAATTAATAATAAACTTTATGTAGAACCTGTCAAAAACTAGTTGTTTCAAAGACATAAAAACAGAAATTTCACAGTGCAATTACATATTAAAATAGTTTCTGTGCTCAAGAAATGGAAACAAAGATAAAGTACAATAAAAAAATCTTAAGAATAAATGAGAAAGCATAAAACAAAAAGTGGTCTGAATCTTCAAAGTTGTGCTCTGCTTCAATGTTGCTCCCCTGGCTCAGGTTGTCAATGTCTGAATCATGACTTTAAAAACGTTTTGCAGGCTAAGACTGCTGAATATATTACATCATCAACTGAATCAAACTAATAGTGCCAGAACAGCCTGTATCTAAATTTATTGTACTGTCTTTTAAAGCTGTTGTGTGTGCAGTTTCTGTACTATGATGAAATCAAAAACCGGACTGGAACTTTTCTATAGTACAGTGTTCTTGCCTCGGCCGGGTGTTGCCACTTTATCTGTCATTTGAACGCTCTGTACGCTGCCAAAACAAGTAGAAATTGTCAATGAAAACCGTAGTGAGTACAATCAGAAAAAGGCTGAAGCGGAGTCCACAGCCGGGAGAGGGGAGTGGTCCAGAGACATAAGCGTGGCACTTCTGTGACTCCAGGACCTTCAACAGTTGTCTTACATCATGACCAAAGAATATTGCAGGAGTCATAATTTGACCGATTTGCATTCACACCATGTGGAAAACTTCACCTGTGCTTCTGCATTATAGTAACTACGAATATACTGTTCACATCAGCTGCCAGGTGATCTAACCAGGAATCAGTATTTTCTACTTGTTATTTTCTGTTCTTTTTCTTCACTGTGTTCATTTTTATTTCTATTTGTGAAAATATTTTTGTTTGCATAAACCTTGCCATGATTTTCATGTGTGGTAATGTTTGATTTGTTGTAAAAAATATACCTTCACTGGATCACTAAGTGGACTTGTATGAATCTGCCTCTCATTACAGCTGCTGACAGTGGTGATATAAATAAAAGGCACCAGGAATTGTAAATGAAAGCTCTCTCACCTGCAAAATGTTGACAGGCAGGTCAACAGTGAGCTGAGAGTGCGAGCTGGAGGGCTGAGAGCTCAGCTGGAAGGCAAGATCGCCATCACTGGCTGGGTCGTCCTGCATGGACAAACATTTCCATCAGCATGTCTTTCAACAACAGCTATGCTTCTTTGTGGCTATTCAATGCAGTTGATGCCGTCTCATTTAGAAAATGGTTCTCTCAACACAGGCCAAAGATTTTAATGTCAAGGGTGTACATCAGATCTACACACAGACTAGTTGGCAAACACTGTATTGTGATCAGATATCTGGGGATCTCACCTGCAGCAGCTGAATCTGGACATACTGGGCCCCGGTGACAGGATCACGCAGAGTCAGGCCCCCGTTGCCTGATGGAGCTCCTTCACCATAACGAGCAGCAGATGGAGCCAGCGGTGCTGGAGCAATGGCTGCCTTTGCTCCTTTCATTTTTCTCTGGCTGGAACTCCCTGGATCGGGCAAAGACAATACCACCATGAGTTGCCGTTACACAGTCAGGTTAGTCTCTACTCTCAGTATAGTCTGAATGAGGAGTGTGTGTGTTACCAGAGGAGGCTGATGGGCCTCTCTGCTTCTTCTTCTTCTTGGCCAGCTGGATGGCTCTGTAATCAGTCCTGGCTGAGCCTCCACTCTCCTGACACACAAAATGGATACACATTAGCTGCAACCAGTTATTTTCATTATCAATCAATCTGCCAATTATTTTACTGATCACTAATTTATTGTTTGGTCTATAAAATGTCATATCCATCATAATAAAGCAGGCTAAGAAAACCAGCAAATGTTGACATTTGAGAGGCTGGAAGCAGAATTTTAGCATTTTTGCCTAAAAGATGAACAGTTAATCGATTATCAAAGTAGTTACAAAATTATTTTCTGTTAATTCAACATACTAATAATCAAGAAATCGATTCAGCTCTAGTACAGTCCACTTTATCAAAACTAAATCCAATCCAAAACAATACATAGGCTTTTGAGTGCTAGTACCAACCACAATGAAGCTAATAAAAGCAGATATTTGTGCCATTTCCAAAGAATTCCACCCTTCCATAGCAGAGAATACAAAAAGCAAATGTTGTGCATTTCATTTGCAGAGATTATAAATATTTAAATTTTCAATTAAAAGGCAGCGAATGCATCTAAAAAAAACTGTGCGGCTACTCACTAGGAAGCTGCTTGGTGACACAGCGTTGAGTTCTGAGTCTTTCTGAGGGCTGAAGCTGTTGCTGTGAGTGGGGAAAACAAACTGGGTGAGGACTTTTCCTCCTTCTGGAGGCCCCAGCACCTCCACACAGCCCAGCAGAGGCCCCACTCCCCCCTGCCCACCAACCTCCACCACTGTAGAGGGTGAAGCCAGCAGCTCGGCCACAGGAGCCACTGCCAGGGTGGCTGTGGCCTCCACGCTCAGGGCGCTGGAGGAGCTGAGTGGGTGCTGTAGAGTGGGGTCTACAGAGGAACCAGCACCCTGCATGGTGAGAGCTGTGAGGGTTCCCAGGGCCTCTGGGGTAACAGTCTGCACATCATCCAGGTTTAGGGTGCCCTGTGGGGGCAGGACGTCACCCGCTGTACCCTCCAGACCATGGTGGGGGCCAATGTCAGCACTGGCTGCTAGGATAAGAGGGTCCACAGTCTTGGCCAGTGTGGTGCTTGTGCTGGTACCAAGCGTGGTCCCAACAGAAGCGGGGTCGATGGTGAGGATGCCTGAGCTGACCAGGGAGAGGTCCATGGTGAAAGTGCCATTAGAGCTGCTACCGCCGACAGGGATTCCCACTCCCATACCTGTGCCTGGAGGCGCACCTCCAGGCACAGCAGAGAAAAGAGAGCTGAGGTCCAAGTTGGTAAGCTGGTCGCCCCCGGCAATACCAGGCCCAGTAACCGTTGTTGAGTTGGAGCTGATGAGCTCACTGCTGGGGGTCAAGGTGGGCGTGGTCTCCATTTGGTTCAAAACATCTGGGATGGACGATGACAGTGAAAAGCAACAGATTTGATTAGGAGAGGAACATGCAGCAGACTCAGCTGCACAATATGTGACTGAAAGTCACAAACTGAGGGTGACATAATTAAAATATCACTGAATGTGACAAATAATTATCTGGACATGTAGAACACATTCACACATAAAACACATGTTTACTTGTCTTTTGCTATTTTCTTGTCTTTGTATTTCACGTAATGAATTGTATTTTTTCTCATCTCATTATTGAATTGTGTTATCATTGACACTTTTGCAAGCAATATTGTTAACCAGACATTCGTGCCAATAAAGCATACTGAATTGAGTTGAGAGAGAGAGTTTATCCATCTCCCAGATCCACAGAAACTGCCCTGTCTATCTGGGGAGAAAAGTCAGTGCGCATTATTAGCTGCACAATATACTGACTGTTGTCTTCCACAAAGAGAAACAAGCTCTGTAGTAAATTTAGACCACCACAAAAAAAAAAAAAAAAAAAAAAAAACTTACCGGGACTAAGGTGGTGGTGTTTAAGCATGTGGCTCTTCAGACTGCTGCGAGAGGAGAAGTGTTTGGAGCAGTTTGCCACAGGACAGCGTGTCCTCAGGGTGCTGGTGTCCTGCTTATGCTTCTTGGAGTGGATGTACAGGCTGCTGCGTGCTGAGAACTTGGCATTACAGCCTGAAGAGAAAACACACAGGAGTCAAATGGCATAACATGATTGCTTGTTCAGAAAATAGGAAGTTCAGAAAAACTATTTAAATGATTTATTTAACTGCACCGTATTTCAATGAGTGAAAGAAAAAATAAACTTCTCTCTATTTATTTGCAACTGACTAGTCTATTTTCATTTTTTAAAAAGCAAGTGCATGTACAGAAACCACCGACTTTCTCCCAACAAAACATGCTACTCATACATTTTGCCTCTGGTACCCGTACCCACCTTCTGCATGGCACTGGAAGGGCTTGGTGCCCAGATGGGTGATACTGTGACCCTTAAGGTGCTCTGCCCGGGTGAAAGACTTTCCACAGCCCTCCTCTGTACAGACAAAGCGCCGGTCATCATCATGTTTCCTGATAACCGAAGAGAAGGAGACGGTGGTCAGTGAGACATTCTCATACTTCATTATAGATGTAATGAGTGGACAAACAGTAGGGCTGGATGATGGCACTGATCTAACTGATTCAGTTTTGATTCAGAAAATCTAGAATCGATTCATTTCAATATGATTCAATTGAATTCTTGATGATTCAGTTAGGTATAAAAGTATTAAATAGCCAGAATCAGCTAGCCATCCTGAGTCCCATAAACTCTGGCGAGTCTGTATAGACTGTATTTGTTCACATCACAGTTTATAACACTATTGTAACTCTAGGTGGTTAATATAGCTATCTTGTTACTTAACTTAAAAAAAAAAACTTTGTGCACACAATAATCAGTGTACGACATTTTAACATTTAGTGCAGATATATATATATATATATATATATATGTATATATACACACACACACACTGAACATATGTTGGACTGTAATCGGACTACTTGATTAGTATAAGCAAATTATTTTTGTAATTTAAATAGGAATGACTCTGTCCCTAGCATTTCGAGCCATATAATCCATCATATATATACGTATACACACACACACACACACACACACACACACACACACACACACACACACACACACACACACACACACACGCACGTAACTCCACTCCTTATTACTTATTTGAAGACTCACCGTTTGTGTCGGAGCAACTTTGACATGCTAGTGAAAGACCAGCCACAGCCCTCTGAGTCACAGACAAATGGCCTCTCACCTGGCAACAGGAAATTGTTAGTTTATTTACCACTGCACATGATCTGAGGCTTGTATCACCAAGACACCAAGATACCACCCTTTTAACCAAAGTAACCTATGCAGTACAATTCAGAGCTATTCTTAGTTTTGGAAATATGCAGGATTAAGAACTACTCTCATCTGAAATGAGTGAACAGAGAGCAACACATTCACAGCATCATGTGATTGGGGAATGACTTATTCTTTAAAAAAAACAGCCTCAAACATCTCTGTAGTTTGAATGCTGACTACTGTAGAAATACAAAGCAAGGTCTGATTAGAGCCACCATTAACTGACCGTGTACCTTTTGGCCCACTTAAATAGCATTAGTGCCTCCCTGCTGAACCAGTAGGGTGGAAATTATGGCAATATTACTGACACTCAGATCTAGCATCTGCTTACCAGTGTGACTTCTCATGTGGATCTTGAGGCGACAGGCCTTGTCGTAGGTCTTATCGCAGCCTGGGAAGGTGCAGGTGAAGTGGCCTGTTTCTCTGAAATGAGTGCGATTATGGGAGAACAGGGCACTGAAGGTGATGAAGGTTTTCTCGCAGCCTGTAGGAAGACAATGGTAGACTGAAAGTGCATTTTGTACCAAAAATATATTAGCAACTGTTAGAGTTTTGCACATCAAGTTAATTGCAACCATGGGACATTAAAGATTCCCTTTAATGAAAGTGAACATTAAACAGTCTTCCCTAACACCAGCTAGTGAGTGTTCTGTCTAACATAAGGCTCCTTAACATAAAATAATTTGCCTCGCTCATCTCTTTGGAATAAAGCATTAAACTGATGGAGTTGGTAAACATGACTGTGATGTGTATGTATCACCTTACATATTAGCAGCTCCAAATGCTTTGTGCAACTTTAAACAGGCTACCCTTTGAGTCAATTGGCTTCATGTCCAGTGCTATCATTGGGGGGTTGTACATTATCAAACCATTAGCCAACTGCAGGTGGAGTAAGTGTACACGGAAAAGGTGAAAATTGCAAAATGATCTCGGTGTTACCTGGGAATTCACATTTGTGGGGCCTCTGTGGCTCAAAGTGGACCCTCTGGTGATTGGCGAGTCGAGCAGCACTGCGGAACCTCTCGCTGCAGATCTCACAGATGAAGGAATTATCATGCTCATGGACTTTGACATGGGCTTTAAGGTTGTACACTGTGGTGAAACGCCGCCCACAGCCTTCAAATTGGCAGGTGTGCGGTCGTTGCTTGTCATGTGATTGAAGATGCCGCTTTAGTTTGTAAGAGGTGGCAAAAGCCCAGCCACAGCCCTCCATGGTGCACTGGTAGGGGCGTGGATCCTCTGCGTGGTTCAGGAGGTGAACCTTGAGTTTCTGACGTGTGTCAAATGTGTTGGAGCAGCCAGGTTCTGGGCAGTCAAAGGACGTCACAGTCTCTTTTTTAGACCTGATTGGCGGTACAGACTGGAAGTCCTCATTTTCACAGTCTGCCACTGTGGCTTTGGGGGATGGGATGACCAAATCAGCCTCTTTTACAGCACATAGCGCCCCTGCCTCCTGCTTGACAATGGAACAGGAGTCCAGAGAAGTGCCCAGCTCTGATAATGAACAGTCATCCACCAGAGCCAGCTCTGAGTCACTCACGGACAAACCAGGTCTGGGTTCTTTCTGCTGGCTGACGCTGGATACTGCTAACGTGCTGATCTTCCCGATGGATTTAGTGCCACTGTCATAGTTGAGAAGAACAATATCCTCATGGTCTTTCATGCCAAGATGCTCCTTCAAGCTGACCATATCATCCTCTTTGTGTACATGCCCCTCTGGTGGGGCAGCAAGAGTCAGTATCCCGTTTTCTATGGTCACTATGATGCTTTGGTTGTTTATCGTGATAGTTCCGGAAAAGGTTTCACTGGGGTGCGGACTTGTGGAGGCCGTGACCGGGTTTGCACTGTCCTGCAGCCCCGTCGAGTCTGAAATAAAGTCCGAGGTATCCATGGCTTCCACGATGCCCGAGTTCCCTGAAATCAAGGCACTGCTCTCGTCATTATGGGACTGCGGCGAAAGCTCCCTGACCAGTTTACCTTCTTCGTTTTCGGTACAAATCTGGCCACAAATCTTATCGCCATATTTGTTTGTCAAAACTACGTCTTCGACAGTTTGGTGACAAACACTCTGTTTCGCATTTACCGCGACTGAGTTACCTTTAAGTAAATTGAAAACATGTTCGGGTTTTTTCAAGGCCTGGGTATCAAGACAGTTAACGTTGTCATTAGATTCACAGAGAAGTGCGTTACTGCTGTTTCCAACCTCCATGGAGCCGCAGGGACTCGCCTTACAGCACTCTTGCCTTTTACCTTTTATTTTATCGCCGTCCTCAGATGACACATCCAGTCGGTGCTTGCCTTCCTCACCGCTGCCATCCTCTTGAACGACATTGAAAACAACATACAATTCCTGGGTGGTTCTGTCTGCGGTGCTGATGTTCTCCGGCGGAGGAGCGCTTCGGCAGGCCAGTGAAGGCTGCTTGAAGGCGCCGTCCTCACGCTGCTGCCGTAAAACTGGAAATGGTAACGTTAGTTGCCTCTGCGGCATCGGTTCCTCTTCCCCTTCAAACAGAGGCAGCTCCATTTGCATTACAGTATCTACACTTTCTATACCATATTTCCAGGCAGCTCTAACAGACTCCTGAGAACAAAGTAGTGCGTTCAGCTCATTTTTCTTTTCCGTGTTCACGTTATTAAGTCTATCACTCGATAAATTAGTTTTATTGGTTGGTTGCGATTTGCTAACAGGCAGGCTAGTCGTTCCGCTGCCATTTTCCGCCAGTAGGCGAAACGGTGATGTCCTTGGCCTGTTGTTGTTGTTGTCTCTTTGTGGTTCAAGCAGCTCCAGTTGTCCGCCCGCTCCATTTTCGGTGCAGTTAAAACGAGGTCTCGATCCTGTCGCCGATCGAAGTGGAGACGAAGTGGTTCTATGTGGGGCGCCATGTTGAGAGTGAATGTTTTGGGCATCAGATAGCCCCTGAATTTCCATCTTGGTATCCCTGTAGCAGCGACACAGAAAAGGCCCGCCCTAGTAGACGGAGGTGATCCGCAGAGCCACTACACAGTTTACAGCAGGCCGAGCGGTGCTTTCAGGGCCACCGTGGAAATACGGCTGAGGCGAGCAACGTGAGTGATCTGTAAAGTGTTGTATTTGTATTTATTGTTTACCACGGAGTATTAGGGCCACAATAAGGGAAAATAATCTGAAATTTCGAAAAGAAAGTCATAATATTACGAGCATAAAGTCAAAATATTCCAAGAAAAAAGTCAAACTTTTACGAGCAAAAAAATATGTGTATGAGAATAGTCATAATTTTACAAGGAAAAATATCAGAAGCTTTAAAATGATGAACGTGGAGTATCCTGTGAAGTTCTCCTATTACAGAGGTTTCACAAATAAGGAGATCATCTTTTGGGTCATCAGCATCATCAGCAGCAGCATCAGGGCACTGAAAAGATTGTGCAGAAACTGAGTCTATTACATTGTCAGACAGGCATACAGCAGTGTTAGAAACAGCTCAAGTGGCCACCGACTGTCCTTTATCCCGTTTATTGGTTGTTGAAATATTCCTAATAAATGTTGGGGTTTTTTGCATTTTTAATTCTCGTAATATCACGACTTTATTCTCGAAATAAAAGCTTTCTTTTTTAATCTCAACGTGGCCCTAATTCTCCGTCGTATTTTAGATACCCAAATAGGCTATGACATTTCTTATGACAACATGTAGAGCTGATGCCTACACTGACATGCACAAATATGTACAAAAGCACGTACCTCTTTTCAGTTCGCCATTTCGTATATATTAGCTGTATGAAATAATACTACAGTCGTGGGTCGTAGGTCTTCCGCCAGCACCGTCTTAAGAAATAAAATTTCCAGTCCAAGTCCCCCAATGTTATTATGTTGTTTTGTGTAATATAATTTAAATCTCATCTGCGTTTATTTATTATTACTTTTATTTATTCATTTTCATTTTTTTTTTTTGTATGCACCTGTTACCTTTTGAATATTGTAAAGAAGTTGTGTATGGAATTGTTCAATAAAAATAAAAACTAAAAAAATCTTTTACCAGTCAGTGTTTTTTTGCTCTATTTCCACTGGGTGGCAGCATAGCACTATAAAACAGACATCGTTGAAGACTATCTTCTCCGTGATTAAAATATTTAAACCATATAGCACCTGCTGTGTTTAAACGTAGCGTTTATCATTCACTCTCCATTACTCATCTTACTATCTTACTTTATTAAACTTCACTTCAGTTTGACAGTTATATAGACCAATATGGGTTGTGTACTGTACTGTTCTGTACTTAAGTAGGCTGTATATGTGTGTGTGTAATAATAATTTTCGACATTGCAAACTGATATAATAATGATAATAATTAGACCCTGAAACACAGACACATTCATTTGCAACCATGTGATCCCCTTTTTTAAAATCAACCCCACATGAGAAAATATACATTTTGGTTGATGAAAAATGAAAAGGCCCTTCTTTGCTCTACCCAAATTCACACTATTGTTACCTCAGTAAAACAAACAAACAAAAACAGACTACACTGCAGGGCACAAAGTAGAGATCAGCCTCAATCATGTTTATTTGTTTCCCAGGCAAAATATAGGGAACATTGACAAACTTATAAATGAATTCTGACCAACACAAATGGATACAAAAATAACAGACACAGTTAGAGTATCACTTGGAAACAAAATGGAAGGAAAGAAGACTGTTGACAAAATATTCTGTACATCACTTTAGATGAATTTACATCTGACCAACATGTAGGCTGTATGGAACATATTTGACTAGGGAGAAGTAGTGAGGAGTATATTGGTTGTCAATTATCAAATACTGTATATAAAGCTGACCTGCGTCATACAAAAATATCCATTAAGTTGTGTGACTTTGGGTTTAGTGTACTTATCGATTATAACACACACATGCATGCATGTTTTAAACGCTGCGATATAAATCTACCGTAGTAGACAATAACAGTAGAAAGAGAAAGAACAAGTCAACACACTTGGGAATACTGTTTGAAGTCATTTTTAGATCTGAATAAAGATACAGATAGTTTCCCTAAACAAGTACAATAATTGGCAGCGAAACAGCCAAATAAGCATGCAAAAATAACATGGATTTCCTGTGCTGTCATATAAAAAGACCTCACTCGCACTTACTTGTGAATTACGACAGAAATAAGGCCACATATCCATTTCCTTTCTGATACAATATGGAACATGCTGATGAATCCAGTCTTTACTGTTATTACTGGCTTGAAAGAAACCTCTCCAACAACTAGGTTGTAGACAAAAGATTTAACCAGACCGCACAGTATCTGTTTTAAGGAGTGTATGTGAGAGAAAAACAGCTCTACCTGTTACAGTAAATCATATCTGGTGTTTCTGGTATCTAACTGACTTTTGCTTGAATCGTTCATGCAAACATAAAATTCATAATGAAATCAGAAAAATACGTACAAGTATTAAGTAAGTCAACAGTCATTGCAAATAAACATGTTTAGCCGCTGCTGACAGGCAGACACAATATGCAGCCGTATACCAAACACCGGAAGTGATGGGGGAAAACTGTGTATACATTTTCAAAAGCAGTCAACACATTGTAACTCCCTGAAAACATTCTCACTGACACAGCACCACGCACTCAGTTGATTATTTGGAACAGCCAGCTAAAACTAATGTAGCCGCCGGGGTCACCGGACTGCTCCGGCAGTCGAACAGAACAAACATCGGCGGAGTTTCCGAACTTCGCTATGAAGCGGAACGTTCTCGCTGTGTTTAGATCCTGTTGTTGCCAGCAACAAACATGTGTCTTTCCAGTGCTATGAAACAAGCAGAACCTCCCTGCACTCAAAAAAAATATTTGCCAAAAATGAATAAATATAATTTTTTTTTTAAATGTAATGAATGAAAATTCATCCAGATTAATTCGAAAGACTAATGACTGTAAAGATAAGCAATGAATGACATCGACATTTTTTGTCATATTAGTCACATGACCTTACTGACGTAGGTATTGACCTTATCATCGCAGAAGTAGCTAACAACCTGTGGAATTGGCACAGACACGTATCACTGATTGATTAATGTTCAGGCCAGTGCCCTTTCTGGGCAAGAAGGGGTTGGCTTTTCAAGGTCAGAAGGGACAGCAGCTGAGATGGTATTTTGTATAAACTTATGCTGGAACGTACATACAACCACTCCTCCATTCTCCCTTGTTTCTGTATAGACTACCATTAGTATGGAGAGCAGTAATATTCGTTATTGCACTGTGAAGACAAGCTCTTACCAAGTCTCATAGTTTAACTGTCAGCATGTCAACATTGTTAACTCAGCAGCCAGTTTCCTTCACATAGCCTAGTACTTTCAAGTGGTCACGCGGCACAAGCCATTAGAAATAATGGGTTACAGAGCACAGAGGTGCTGTTGATGGATTCTGTCTGAAAGTCCCATAATACAGCAGTCCTGCAATACATCCTGCCTTCAAGAAGGACATAATGACCAGTTTGTTTGTTTTCTTTTTGTTGAAATTGATAAAGAGCGTTGAACTGTATGGTCATTTTGGAGTCTGCAATGTGTTGTCCTGTTGAATTGTAGGGGAGACCGGGGCATCTTGTCACAGCGGTAAGTTTTCACACTGATCTCCAACACCAGGGGGCGCTATGTAAAAAATCGAACACTTGCATTTGTCGCTCAATGTCCTGAAAACGTTTTCTTGACATGTGGCGTGCTTCACTGTTATCTCTATTGAGAATAATTTTCATATTTCTCAATCTAAACTGCACTATTCATGAAACAGGTTGAATGTCAATGCCTTCTTTTACAACGTAGCGGAAGTGCTACAAAGGCATTAGTTTGGACCAGGAGATAACGTAAATGAAACTGGAGGGACTACTGTACACCGACCGGACAGAGTAGTTGCTAGATGTGGCTTCAAGTAAGTTGGGTCATTTACATCTGCAGAGAAGGACCTAGTCACAATTGCGTGTGCTGCCACAGAGAGTATCCCTCCCTACTTTATATTCCCTCCTGTCATCCACCACAACAATTTACTTATCAATGGACCACCAGGGGGTAAAGGTGGAGCCAATCCTTCTGGATGGATGAAAGAGTCACACTTTATGGACTTTTTGAATAATTTCGTCGAGCACACAAACGGCTCAAAGGACAAGCCATGTTTCCTCCTGATGGATAATCATAAGTTTCATCTGTCCATCAATGGACTCAATTATGACAAAGAATGGAATATTTATGCTCTCCTTTCCACCTCATTGTTCCCATTGGCTTCAACCTTAAACAGGACTGTCTATGGGTCACTTAAGAAGCATATCATACAGCATGTCATTCCTGGGTGAAAACCAACCTTGGGAAAACCATGTCTATTTATGACATTCCTGGGATTGTAGCAATCGCATATCCTCTGACTGCAGCCCCCTTGAATATCTTGAATATGAATTTCTTACAGGTTGCCCCATCCTATAGCTGCAGCCTCTCAAGACCACAGCTTAAACCCAGACCCACCAGGCCCCAGCTCAAATACATCCTCAACAGGCCTTAACAGTGGACTACCGGGCGCCGAAGATATATGACCCTATCCCAAAGGTGCCCCAAGAAAAACAGCTTCCCATAGGGGAAGGAACCATAAAAATGCCATTCTCACTGATACACCATTATCAGATGAGGAAAAAAAACCAAGCAAACGGGGGCAAAAGGAGCTCTAAGAAGCAGGGGAAGCAAGGGCGATTTGTAGCATCTGCAAAAAGGAGGCAGGTCAAAAAAAGACAAAGCTCAGATGAATCCTTAGATGATGAGTGTTTCTTGTCTGTGTGGAGCCACTTTCTAAAAGCTGTTCAAAATGAAGTGGATGAACGGGTCCGATGCAACAAATGGGAACGAGGCTTGTACTCCCAGGTACGCAGTTTATTTGTGCCAGAACTGTTACTCTGACAACAGTCAAGCAGTAATTAATTGCATGGGTTGTTCCTATTTTTTCATCCAACATCTTTCTACATATT